GAATTAAGACCTGCCAGGCTCCAGTGAGACATATCTCCAGCCTTTAATAAACAATTATATTATCAGTGAATTAAGACCTGCCAGGCTCCAGTGAGACATATCTCCAGCCTTTAATAAACAATTATATTATCATGGAATTAAGGCTTCGTTCACATGGAAAGTCTATTTTCTAAAAATTTATTTCCTATTCGTGGTATCTTGTAATCACGGTCCCTGTGCCCTGAATATCCTGAGAATTAATTACAGCTTTGGAAGTAACTGGCTCGCGCCGCCAGTAATTATGCCGCGGGATATTCAGGGCACAGGGACAGTGATTACAAGATATACCGCGAATAGAAAATAGATTTTTAGAAAATAGACTTTCCATGTGAACGGAGTCTATGACCTGCCAGGTTCCAGTGAGACAGGTCTCCAGCCTTTAATAAACAATTATATTATCATGGAATTAAGACCTGCCAGGCTCCAGTGAGACATATCTCCAGCCTTTAATAAACAATTATATTATCAGTGAATTAAGACCTGACAGGTTCCAGTGAGACATATCTCCAGCCTTTAATAAACAATTATATTATCAGTGAATTAAGACCTGCCAGTTTCCAGTGAGACAGGTCTCTAGCCTTTAATAAACAATTATATTATCAGTGAATGAAGACCCCTCTGACAAGCCTTCAATGTTCTGCAATTACATAAATGTCAGACGGTGTATTTTGCTTCATTTTTAACAATGATATATCAAAAACACTTCATAACCTTTTCCTATGAAAAATTACTTCAAAATTTTATTACAATTTTTACCAGGAGGCATTTTTTAATGTTATATTAAATGTAGATCTCCCGTACCTCTCCACTGGCATTCTGCAGTAAGTTCTGAGACCAGCCTACGATGGACAACACCTTCTTACTCATGCTTCTGCTCAGGGGCTCCACAGTGTCAATCAACTGAAAACACAGTGCAATTTAAGCAGTGGCTGATCTAAATTATACATTTTTATAACAATAGTGCAGAAACAACAAACTTTTAATCTTATGCTTTACATGTGCCAACAAGTTATTAAATAGGTACATTTTGTAGCATAATTCAAATCATCATTATTGCCCTTGTTATCTAAACCCTTACTTGACTTACAACCAAAAAAAAAAAAGCTAAAAGCTAAGGATACTTTCCACACTGGTTAAATAATCTAAATAATCTAAGGTCTACCATTTGTTTCTCCGCCTTCTCTTCTTCCTTTTCTACTGCACTCATTTCCTTCTCCTTGTAAGTTTTGTCTAGCACTGCAAACCCTGACAGGCATCCGTCATCAATGTCCAGTTTGAAGGTGTCCACTTTAACAGGAAGGTCCAGTGTGTGCATGGTCAGACCTGGCAGTACCTCTTTCTTCTTCTTGAACTCTGACGCAAACTGAAACGAACTTTCTTTTGTATGAGTATTGCAGTATCATTTCAGTGTTATTAGTATTATTATTATTCTTTAAGGTTTCTCACTACTGGTCACTCAGACTCTGAATCAAAATTTTCAGCTCTATAGCTGAAATCTATGGACACTATGGACAAAGGAAACACAGTCTAAAGCAACCGCTAAATTTCCACTATTCTGATCCGACTGGCTCCTTTCAAAAACTAGTCTGAGATCAAATCTAATAATCACTTGACAAGTAACTGCAGTAGCTAGTATTACAGGCAGGGGATCCACCAATCTCTTACCTTGTCACTGAGGCTGCTGCCGCTGATGGACACAATTTTACTTTTAGCGTGACAGTGAAGACGTACAGTGTAGTTACCACTGGGAATCTCTGGCACCTAGCAACAACACAAGTAAAAGGGAATTAATTGCTTCTTTGGTGTATTTGTAGCAAATATTTATTTTACAAACAGTTTTTCTGTCTTCTAAATGCTCAAAGCCATTCTTCTCATGTTACAATTGTGATTTAGACATCAATTCACTCCACAATTTACTCCACTTACATCATAAACGATATGATTTTCATCTTTAGCCTCTGTTCCAGAGAAGCGCACAGTTCCAAACATGAACCCGTCGTGTCCTCCCGCCAGCAACTCAGGGAAAGTGGCGATTGGCTGACCTTTGCCCAAAGCTCTCGATCTCGTTCCTGGAAAACAGCACACAGCAGGACTGCAAGCATCATTCTGTATATTCTGACATCATCTAATATACATGGACTCTTTTTTCTTTTATTCAGACTGGAATCCCAATAACATTTTTTCTTTTGAAATTTCCCATTACTGGTAACAAAGTCACATTATACTACACAAAAAAATCATAAACAATTAGCACAGTTAACATAATCTTGGTATAAAAATCTTTATACTGCTCTCTTAGGCTTCATTCACATGCAATGTCTATTTTCTAAATTCTATTTTCTATTTGCAGTATGTCTTATGATCACGGTCTGTGCCCTGAATATCCCGCGGCGTCATTACTGGCAGCGCGAGCCAGTTACTATAAGTTACTATAAGTAACTGGCTCACGCTGCCAGTAATTACGCGGCGGGATATTCAGGGCACAGACCGTGATCATAAGATAGCGCGAATAGAAAATAGAATTTAGAAAATAGACATTGCATGTGAACGAAGCCTCAATGTCATCTCTTTGATGCTCTCTAAGACCCCATTCCCAGAGATTAGATCAATCCAACAAGATCGACCTAACTCCCTGGGGGATCACGCTAAATAGCTGTCAGCCAAGCGGGCACGAAAGTTAATTACCCCCTTACAGCTTGTAGTAGGCGGGACGGACATTTAAGCCAGATTACCTGACAGTAATCTAGTGAGACTCCCCACGGGGATAGATCGATCTAAAATCTATGGGAATGCGCCCTATGATTCAATGATCAAACAGCCTACTTACCATAAACATAATCATAAGAGAAGTTAGCAAAGCGGGAGAACTCCGAGGCATAGACGACGTCATTGATGGCCTGGTAGGAAGGTCCCACACAGTTCAGAGCATAAACCACACCCTTTGGTTGTATTGTTAACTGGCAGGGGGAGCCACTGAGCTCAATGTGCTGTTCAGCTTGATCGACTTAAATGAAAAAATAAATCTATAATCAAATCAGGAGACGCAAAATTTAGAATGGTTGAATTAGTTAAAATGTATCCTTCAATTAATCTGTTAAATTATAATTGAGAGAGAGAGAGAGAGAGAGAGTACCTTTAACATGACTCCTAACTGCATATATTCTAACCAGCTTCAACCCGACATCAATTTCCTCAGCCTCCCATCTTCTTTGGAATGCCCATTTTCCATCCACTTCAACCAAATCATCTGCTCGAATTTGTGCAACTTCATCTTCATCCAAAGTGATAAGTATCTGACTCTTCTTGCTCACCCAGCCTGTGACCTCACTTGTTGTTATGGAAACTGCACTTCTCATGACTTCTTCTTCACCTGTTGCCAGGCAACAACTCTGCAGACATTTCTCCTTCAGGTCAGTGACAGTTTCTGGAAAATTACTAATCACTGCATACCTGCATGGTCCTGCCGGGCCTTTGGCCATCAAAGATGACCCATGGATGGAAAATGACCAAAGGTTTCCATCACAACCTTCAACCCCAGAGCTGCCTTGGATTAGGTGTGTCTTGGGCTCAGCGCTGCCATCTAGTGAGACACCATAAAGGGCTGCTGATGTTGCAGCCTCCTTTCCACTGCTGTTAGAGCACATCACTACTAGCTGACAGTGGGTTGTGGAATCAGGCATGGTTATCAACTGGGTGTCTTCCGATCCATTCACAGCTTGAGTGAGAAAAGAACCAGCTTGATTCTCCGTGAAGTCTTCCTCATTCTCTCTGTTATGGAAGATTCCATAACAACTCTCCGCCTCTCCTGTGACCTGGATACTGCCGTTCTCACCCACATCAAATTTCCACTTATCCTCACCACAGATGAGACCAGATTTCAGGTGATCATCTTTATGTCCAGACTGCAGCATGTAGATGGCGCCACCAGCCTGAGCCTGACTACACAATACCAAAGTGGTGCAGGCACCATTAGCTTGATTGACAGCAACTCCAAGATCTGTTGGACTGTCAGCATCTCCGTCTTTTCTGATCACACCAAACCCCAGATTTGTAAACCTTGCATCATTTGAAAAAAGTCCAACCTGATTAGCGCCGAAAAGGTTGTTTGTGATGAGATCTCCCTTCTCATTGGTCAGGCAGAAGCTCTCTGCACCAAAATGACCCCCGCCGTTTATTTTCTTGGTCACATGATGCTGAAAATGATTGGCATCGAAGCCAGAGCGTACGAAGATTAATTCCCCCGTGGAGTTGGCTCCAGGGCCGCCATATTCACCAGATATCAGCAGTACAGCAGCAGCACCCCCATGGCCTGCGTTGATGTTATAATCCAGTGCAGCATAACAACGTAGCGGCCATTTGGCTTTGGAGAAACCCTTGACCACAGGTTTTGATTCTGCAGTTGAAAAGTGAAAATTCATTAAGATCATCAAGAATAAACTAATGAATTCTTTAATGGCACATTTCATATAAAAACCAATTAAGATTTAATAATAATTATATTTTTTTTCAAAAACAAAAAATTACTTAGATTGACAAATATGATGGTTTCTTTAAAAAAAATTATAATATATATAATTTGTAAGTAAACTTTATGAATTTATGAAATAATGCAGACAACCTAGTTTATCTTTATCTATAATATACTTGTTTCCCAGTGTCAAAAAGAAATTATTCCAGCTCACACAATGCACAATCAAAAATGCACAATGCACAATCAATTAAAAAAGCTTACCATTAATATTCCTAGTGATGTCATCTGGGAGGTCTGTACCTGGTTTGAATGTATTCACAGCAGTCTTGACCTCCTTTTTCGGAGAGGACAGCTCATTTGCCTTGTTTGACGAAACTTGTGGCTATTCAAATAATAAAACATGTCAATTAAATTCTAAATAACTTGAAACATTCCCAAAACAACCCATCAGAAAACTTCAATCTTCAGATCTCACTTTTATGGCACCAAAAATAAAGGCACCAAAGACAAAAAAATCTAAATATTTGAGAATTCAAACTTACCATATAGATACATTTCTTTTTCACTTCATTTTATTTAATTATTGTTCTTTAAATGATCTTCCAATAATTCATTGTCCAACAGACTATAACTTGTAAAGTCCAGTAATAAATTTTGCTTATGTAAAATATTACTTACTGTATGACTTAGCTTTACAATATTATCTAGATGCTATTTTCCAATTTACATAGTAATAATAATAATAATAATAATAATAATAATAATGATAATAATAGTTACATTGACTTTCCTCTTTCCACTCTGATCCTGAGTGGAGGTTGACTTGGATGATCCACACCCCATTCTGTCTCCAGTACCTCAGCTAATAAAGTTTGCCCATCTGTGGCAGGTGCAAGGGAAGTCTGCAAAAATAATTAAAATTAATAATTGGGCCCTTGGTGTAGGAATGGGGCACCAGCATGATATATATATATATATATATATAT